GTATATTTATATGCATATTAATTGTTTTAAGCAAATACCAAGAAATGATAATTAATACTTTTCAGATTAATGTGGTCCGGTTAAACGGGAGTCTACTGTATGTCTTTATTGATTCTTATTCGGAACATGATGGCCGAATTCCATCGTATCACAATAAAAGTGTCATACTTGTATATTTTTAAGAAACTATGTAATGTGAGGGTAATTTGTATAAAATTAAGTCAGATAAAATAAATTGATAAAAATGCGCTATCATTGCACTTGTGTCAATTTAAACTCAAGCCTTAAATAGAAAACCAACACGCGAAATCTCTAAACTCTATATGTATTCACGAAACTTAAAGTGACGAGATTCCCCATTTTCCAAGTAAATAGATGTATAAAATTCATTTTTAATGTTTATTCTTTCTTTTGTTTGACTAAGCATTACACATTTGAAAGTGACACAAGTATTATTGAACTATGTGAGTATCGTATGTATCCCCTCTTCTGCGTTTGTGATCAAAGATCAGGAAATTATGACGCATCGAGTGTTGTGGCTCGTATAATGTAACAAAACACAGTAGCAGTTCATCTCAATCAACGATGATGGAGAAATTAATAACGGTGCTTCTCATGCTAGCCAGCTGCCAAGTGTTCGGTGATGTTCTCGAAGATCACAATATACCCGGTAATAATTATAATCTGATCGTGAATTTATAACAGCTTCATATTCTATTGCATCGAAGAATAGTGCAAGTGAAATTTTATAATCATCTTGAAATGAAATGGAAATTCAATGTAAAAAATCTTTTTCTCATCTCACCAGTATTAGAATCTTTTCTCGAGTACATACGTAGCTGACCGTCTGATTTGCGAAATATGATTCATAAAGATAGACTGACAATAAATTAGACTTGGCAATGACATGATAACGTATCAATGTACATAGGTTACGTTCATGGCAATTAAAAATTAATTTGCGATCATACATATCGTACATTTATTTGTATCAAGTAAATTTCGCAACCGCAACTAAATTTTTAAATAGTTGTTCGTCAAAAAATTATCGCTCTAAAAAGAGCGACGTGGTATTTGTTTCATATAATTTATTATTGTAAAAAATTACCTATTATAAGTAAAATAATTATTAACATTAACAAATATTTAAGGGGAAGTTCCTTGTTGCAATACATAATTAAGTTACGAATGTTCATTCGTCATCATGTTATTACCGTTTAAATTACGTGGACGGTTCTTCCCCGGATAATCGATTAAACGACTTAGTAGATTGGTAACATGTTCACATAAAGTGCTCTTCGAAAGTCTATAATGATATTTTTGTCATTGCGTCACATCACAATGACACTGCACACAGTGCCTATGCATTACTATCCACTGGTGTGATTAGAAAAAAAAACAATTTCTCGTGACCGTAAATTATCTGCGCGATCCGATCTTTCAAAGGAAATCATTATTTCAGTTAACACATCAGAATTCTAATCATTGAACACGATTTAACAAGCCTGCAGCTGAAGAAAAAGAATGACCAAAATAGTGTTACATTATGATATAACATTTTCAATGTTTTCATAAAAATCATGTTAAGAATATAACTCGAGAGAAACATTGATTTATTAACAATTTCAATATTTTTGATGGTTCTAGTTCGTCCAAACATAATATCGAGATCAAACTGGGGAGCCAGAGCACCGAAGAGTCAGCTACAGAATCTTGCAGTGAATCCTCCACCATATGTTGTAATACATCATTCAGCAACTGATGGTTGTACGACTCAAGCGATTTGTCAAGCAAGAGTGAGAAGTTTCCAGGTGATTAATTGATTAAATCAATGTTTCCTTTATGAAACGTGAGATGAAAAGGAACGATTAAGACTGAAATCTTAAAACAGAAGATTTTCTTTTTAATTAATTAAAAAATAAACGATAATTAAGTAAACATTGCTCACATTGCATCTGTGCAATTTCCTTTCCATGAGTTTAACCCAGTTTCATAAAAATGTATGGAAAAAAGAATTGAATTTTTATAATCATTGTATTTAGAACTATCACATGGATGAAAAGAACTGGACCGATATAGGGTATAATTTTGTGGTTGGGGAAGATGGAAACGTTTACGAAGGAAGGGGATGGGACAAACATGGTGCGCATTCGAAACCTTATAATTCGAAGAGCATTGGAATTTGTATAATAGGCAATTTCGTTGGTAAGAGCCATTCTTAAATATCATAATAAAATTAGTACAAAATAAATTAATTTTCATTACTGTGAAATATGAAATTGATATAAAGATTGAATACTCTGTCTTTAAAAATATTATTAATGTATGTGCGTGTGTCCGCACACACGCTCCAACTCGAGATCGACTGGCTTTTTGTCCAGACGATATACATATGTATACGAAAGCAGGCTGTTTTATTATCTTAAATTTTTACATAATAATTGACAATTTTTAATTTTGTTAAAATTTCATGCAGATCATAATCCAAACACAGCAGCCATAAATGCAACTCAAGACTTGATTGCATATGGCACGACTATCGGAAAAATAAAAGAACAGTACACTCTGCTTGGCCATTCTCAAACAGCGGCGACTTCTTGCCCAGGCAAGAGCCTCTACAAACTGATTCAAACTTGGCCTGGTTGGTCGTCAATATAATTATTCGAACATACATATCGTAGTATCCATATTTTATGTTATGCTACTTTTTTTTGCCATCAATGACATGCTTGTATTTAAGTACTTAGTTAAGAGTAATAAAAACAGTTCCATTATAAGTGAAAAATATATCTTTGTATATTCATTATACTTATTTATGTAATTACTGAAAATGAAATTAAATTTTCTGTTAATAATAATTACGCATAAAGTGTCACCAAACCATTCACTGAATTGTCGTAAGTATCTTCTTCGGTTCTGACACAGATATCGACGTGAGAAAAATCAGGTGAATTTATTTTTACGTCATCATAATGACTTCTGTCTCTGGCCTAAAGAAATATGATGTAATTATGAGAAGAATCTATGATATCAAATCGTAAGTAGTAAATACCTGAAGTGGAATCTGTCGTAGAAATTTTTCATTCAATTCAGGAATACATAATTTTGTACCGTACGGTATTCCTGAATCTAGATCCATGGAAACAGTTACGAATTCAGCTCTTCCATCAAGAAAATCCTGAGACAGAATTTATGATTTTTATTTTCAATATGCACAATATTTGGTCGCAGTTGAATCCAAAATCTTACGAACATAATATTAA